TCACAGGACACTCTGACCTATGAGACCGCAATGACACATACACAATAGGCTCCCAGCCACCCTGGCACAGAAAAGCGGTCGTGCAGAGGCAACGCCAATTTCACAACTTTACAACTTAGCCCAGAGGCCAACGTGACAATTCTCTCCGATCAAGATTTAGCAAACGGTACTCAGCATCCTTGCACTTCTTCGATGGTTTGGCTAATCATTCTGCATTAATTATGTGCCTCTTAAATACATTATGATACAAATACATAGCATAAAGAGTATTGTGTATATATAACATAAACATAACTGTGCAGTGCCAAGCCTTGAGGCACCACTAGGATATCACACAGGGCTTTCTCCATTCCTTTAGCCTCCCATAGGCCTCGCCCTCTAACCCCGAGCTTGACGTTTGACCTGCTGCTGTTATTAATCCGGATTACTGCCAGTGGCACGGATCAAGCCCTAACTAAAATCTCTCAGCTAGGGTGGATTTGAATCGATTCCCATCGATGGTGACATTTTAATTAAGTGGAGATATATTCTAGGGTGAGATACGCTATCAATTCCGGATAGGTTCAAACTCCGAATCCGTTCCGAATCAACCTAAACTAAACTATTTGCATTGTACCAAGTAAGGCCCACCGAGCTTTATAGCTCTTTTTCAGAATCCACCTGACCACAAATGATAGCCCAATGAAGTGGCTTATCCCGTTGAAATGAAGAGCAGCCAAAATCCTCTAAACGCATGTTCATGTTTCTAAATTGTAGAGGGAAAAATCGGAGGACCCGGAGAAACATCCACGCAACCACAAGGAGAATATTCAAAATCAAAATATACCGGCGTCAGGGTTGGGATCGAGCCCACGACCTCCTGTATACCAGGCGAGGTAGTTAACATCTTGCCACCGCGGTGCCCATATTGATACCAGAAATCACGACTAGAGTTGTGATTCCGATTTCGCGGGCAATCGCGGCGTGGGAACCCCACCCCCCCGCGCCCTTCCCCTCCACACAGCACAGTAGCTACGAGACCGCGACTGGAGCCCACGCGCGAGCTGATCTGCCAGGGCCCTACACGCCCTAGACCACCCCACTCCGCCTTGCCCCTGCCTGACTGGCAACACCACAGGGGCGTCACGGGTCAGACAGCAAAAGGCTTCATTACAGTAATTTAAAACCACCTACGCGCAACACAACTGGCAATGCCCAGCACTAAGTAGGCAACGCCAACGGACGCAAGCTCACGGCAACATTGCCTCTCGCTCACCAACCAAACTGCTCGACGCTACCAAAAGCAACCTGACGGGGTTCCTCACCGGGCACACGAACCGGCAATCACTAACCAAACGCTGGCTAGGTCACCTCGCCCAAACCGACCTCGCAGCCAGTTAGCACGACTCCTCCACCTGAAACCACAGCCCCCCCCCCTGATGCTCGTCCACCCCCCCCCCACCCATCCCTGTCCCTTGCCAGGCCCTGCCCCCCTCCTACACCCCCCCTGCCCCTGTGGAGTCTTGGTGTGGGGGAGCCGTTTGGGTGGTGGCATGACAAACGTGAATATAATTCCCCCCACTTCAGCAAACAGTCGTTACTAAAAAATAAATAGGCAACGAGGTGCTTGTTAATCAGCGAGGGGAAGTAATGTTTTTTGAGAATTGTGCTTGTGCGCTGCTCAAACTATATTAATGAGCTCCAGGTTTGTTTGTTTGTTTGGTGGCTGCTGCTGCTGCTGTCTGGGACTTCATGTCGCTCTGTGACATCGCTTTAACAGGCCACACACCGTGCTGATGAGAATCATCATGATCATAATGAACAGCCATGAACAAACCACCGCTGAATGAACGCCTCCCCGGTGCCATCGCCATCCCTCCAAGTCGTGCGATCACAATAAACCCCTCTCGCTGCACCAAAAACATACACAGGCTAATCTCATCGTCGCATCTTGACCGTGATTTGTGACCGGGGCCGCTATTGCTGTTGCCAAACTGACATTTGGGGTGAGGCCCTGATGCGTGATTCCGGCGAGTTCCCCTGTCAGGTGAGTACCTTCGCCAACCCACACTGACCGGCGTGGAGAAGTATGGTCAAAACAGCACCCCTCCATAATAAACTAAGCCAAAGGCACGGCCGTCAATCCCCCAGCAACCTGGTTCCGCGAGCCTTGGCATCGGCTGGAGAGGTGGAGGAGCAACTCTTAAGGACAACCAATATGCAAGCACCGCGTATGAAGAGGATGGCCTTCTGGAAGAGATCCAGCGAAGTTGAAACGATTCCAAAGATGCTTTGTTTGGAAAACATGAATCTCCAAAGAAGCCCATAGGACAACACAGGAAGCGTTATTTCATTTAGTGACGAACCAAACAACTGCCCTGCCCTTTAATTTTAACAGCATATGCCACAAGTATGGACGCCGCTGTGCTGCGTGTCAGAACGGCTGGACAGCGGCGGCCTGTGGACACTCATCTCACAGCCTGGCTGTCACGTTCATGAAAACTTCGACACTTTTTTTTTTACATTCCAAGGAAAACACATGCCACGTGCGAGCTCGCGCCCTCGGGGACCCGATGGTTTGCCTAAGACGCAGACGGCGACGTTAAAGCGGGTGCCAGGTTTGGTGAAATTGTTGGGCTGTTCTGCAATCCCCTAACAGGATTTACATTGGTGGTCGTTGCACTGATAGGAGAACATTGCTGCTAATGTTGTTCCAGGCTTGCCTCTGGGTGGTCGGACCACGAGGCACTGAGCTAGTGTACGCAACGTTCGTGGTACGATTCCCGATTCAGCTTCATCTTTATTGAGGAACTCAAAAAGACAATGTGTCATGGGCAGGGTGACTGTCTGTGTGTCAGTGACTGTCCGTGTGTTATAGTGCCGATATGTGTGTAAGAAGGACAATGTATCTGTGGGTTATGGTGACTGTCTGTGTATTATGGTGATCATATGTCTGTGTGTGTCACGGTGACTGTGTCTGTGTGTTATGGCAATTGTGTGTCTGTGTGCCAGGGTATTAATATTTGTGCATGCCAGGATGACTATGTGACTGTGTCTCACTCACTGTGTCTGTGTATCAGGGTGACTATGTGACTGTGTCTCACTCACTGTGTCTGTGTATCAGGGTGACTATGTGTCTGTGTCTCACTCACTGTGTCTGTGTATCAGGGTGACTATGTGACTGTGTCTCACTCACTGTGTCTGTGTATCAGGGTGACTATGTGTCTGTGTCTCACTCACTGTGTCTGTGTATCAGGGTGACTATGTGTCTGTGTCTCACTCACTGTGTCTGTGTATCAGGGTGACTATGTGACTGTGTCTCGTTCACTGTGTCTGTGTATCAGGGTAACTATGTGTCTGTGTCTCACTCACTGTGTCTGTGTATCAGGGTGACTATGTGTCTGTGTCTCGCTCACTGTGACCGTGTATCAGGGTGACTATGTGTCTGTGTCTCACTCACTGCGTCTGTGTATCAGGGTGACTATGTGACTGTATCTCACTCACTTTGACCGTGTATCAGGGTGACTATGTGTCTGTGTCTCACTCACTGTGTCTGTGTATCAGGGTGACTATGTGTCTGTGTCTCACTCACTGTGTCTGTGTATCAGGGTGACTATGTGACTGTGTCTCACTCACTATGACCGTGTATCAGGGTGACTATGTGTCTGTGTCTCGCTCACTGTGTCTGTGTAATCAGGGTGACTATGTGACTGTGTCTCACTCACTGTGTCTGTGTATCAGGGTGACCATGTGTCTGTGTCTCACTCACTGTGTCTGTGTATCAGGGTGACTATGTGTCTGTGTCTCGCTCACTGTGTCTGTGTATCAGGGTGACTATGTGTCTGTGTCTCACTCACTGTGTCTGTGTATCAGGGTGACTATGTGACTGTGTCTCGCTCACTGTGTCTGTGTATCAGGGTGACTATGTGTCTGTGTCTCACTCACTGTGTTTGTGTATCAGGGTGACTATGTGTCTGTGTCTCACTCACTGTGTCTGTGTATCAGGGTGACTATGTGTCTGTGTCTCACTCACTGTGTCTGTGTATCAGGGTGACTATGTGACTGTCTCGCTCACTGTGTCTGTGTATCAGGGTGACTATGTGACTGTGTCTCACTCACTGTGTCTGTGCATCAGGGTGACCATGTGTCTGTGTCTCACTCACTGTGCCCGTGTATCAGGGTGACTATGTGACTGTGTCTCACTCACTGTGTCTGTATATCAGGGTGACTATGTGTCTGTGTCTCGCTCACTGTGTCTGTGTATCAGGGTGACTATGTGACTGTGTCTCACTCACTGTGACCGTGTATCGGGGTGACTATGTGTCTGTGTCTCACTCACTGTGTCTGTGTATCAGGGTGACTATGTGTCTGTGTCTCACTCACTGTCCCCGTGTATCAGGGTGACTATGTGTCTGTGTCTCGCTCACTGTGTCTGTGTATCAGGGTGACTATGTGACTGTGTCTCACTCACTGTGTCTGTGTATCAGGGTGACTATGTGACTGTGTCTCACTCACTGTGTCTGTGTATCAGGGTGACTATGTGACTGTGTCTCGCTCACTGTATAAGTGTATCAGGGTGACCATGTGACTGTGTCTCGCTCACTGTGTCTGTGTATCAGGGTGACTATGTGACTGTGTCTCGCTCACTGTGTCTGTGTATCAGGGTGACTATGTGTCTGTGTCTCGCTCACTGTGTCTGTGTATCAGGGTGACTATGTGACTGTGTCTCACTCACTGTGTCTGTGTATCAGGGTGACTATGTGACTGTGTCTCGCTCACTGTGTCTGTGTATCAGGGTGACTATGTGACTGTGTCTCGCTCACTGTGTCTGTGTATCAGGGTGACTATGTGACTGCATAGCTGTGTGTCTATATGCCAGTGCAGGTATGCCACTGCGTAAGGGGCGATTCTCTGCGTGTCAGGATGACGAGAGGTCTGTGTGTTTAGGCGACTGTCTATATGTGTGGGTAATTGCTGTATGAGTCTGTGTGTCCGTGTAGCAGTGCATCTGTGCGTCTCACCCTGCAGGTTCTGGATGGACTTTGACGAGACATCTGCTTGCCGCGTGCTCGCCTCCTGCTCCTCCTCCAGCATTGCTGCACACACGGTTATAGCACAAAAAGACAAAGGTCCCCCTGTGTAGCCTTAACATAATTTTGGGGCAAGTGCTGTTAGCGAGCGACACCTATTAAGGCCTGCACGGCACACGATGGGGTGGGTGGCCAGCATGACGCACGACCGTCTTTTGTCTCCCGAGTGGCGATGTTTACATACCAAACCGGGTACTTTGTTGAGGCTGAGTCGACCTAGTGGGAGGCACAGGACCAGGTCAGATCATCACTGGTGCTGGCCGTGGGCGGGAATCGTACTCGGGTCACTGGGTTCATAGTGCAGCATGCTAACCGGGATACTAACGCTCCCCACACACACAAATGCAGTCCAGCACACATGCACAAAGATACAAATACATTTGTCCCCTATTTATGTGGGTCCCAAATTGCCAATTTTTTTCATTCAATATGATGTCATTTCAATTGAACACCCTTTTTATTGTCACAATGCAAAGTAGTTTGAAGAAAAATCTCAATCCTTTTGTCCAAAATCATGGGGAGGGAAAAATAATTGTAAATTAAGGTTTTGGATACGTACATATATTTAATAAGGGGGCGTCCATAAATGACGTCACGCGATTTGATGATTTTTGACCCCCCCCTCTTGTCACACGGCGTCACAAAAAGTAAGACCCCCCTCGAATATGACGTCACAAAGCTCTGCCCCCCCCCCCAAAAAAAATATAAAGCATGCTTCAAATCTCTTTAAACTATTGTCATTGTAGTGCATATTTAATGTGGCACTGCACTCTGATGTTTAATTAAGTAGAACGTGTTGTCTATATTTATTTAAAGTTGCGCATTTTGATGTGACGTCACATTTCTCAAACCCCCCCCCCTCACATCGTCACAAATGTCTGACCCCCCCCCCCCGCCCTAGGTGCGTGACGTCATTTATGGACGGCCCCAAAGCAGAAATAATAATAATAATAACTAGAGTTGTTGACATCCCTCTGCCAATCCACTGCTGAATGAAGGCCCCCTGGTGCCATGTTAGTCACGAGGAATGTTTGATCAAATCTCGCCACGCTGGTCAGTGGGGTTGGGCGGTCGTGGTTTAGACATCGCACTCCACCGGTGCTAGCCACGGCCGGAAAACAAAACACAGGTTACCGGGTTCACAGCGCAGCGCATTAACCACTGTATCACCGCCACACTCATATTTATTTATTTATAAATATTTAGTGGCATAGATTGGGTCACTATGGCGCATAGCACTGGTTACTGGTAGACAGCGGGATTGTGGGTGAAGCAGCCCGGTCTACCAGCTGGGCACGTGATAGGCCGGGGTAAGGGATGTAGGGTAAAGGTGACAGAGGGGACACGTGGGGCGAAGGCCCAGAACCGTCTGGTAGGTTACAAAAGGGGGCGTGGCCGAGGGCGGAGCCAGGCCACGCTGGGGAGGATAAAAGGGAGGCCCCGACGCTGGGTCGGGGCTGTCGTTTGGAATGGAACCCGTCATCTACGCAAGTCTTCGTCCCCGTCTTCACCTCCTCGGCGTTGTGGGTCAGGCAGTGTGCCGGTTGTCCTGACCCGATTGTAGTTATCCCCTGTACTGTGGAAGTGTAGAATAAACGTGTGTGCCTCCTACTATTAGTGTTTCCGAAGTGACTCACTACACATATCTACACAACTATTTCAGTCCTCTATCCCTTCTGGAAGATGATTAGAGTTTACATCAATTACTCAGTCATTATGAGCTAAAATACATGTACATCCGCTGTGTACAAGCAAGTGCACATTCTTGCAGAATGTCATGATGCACATGTGAATGCAGACTTCTAGATAATCATAATGGAAAAGATCCTCCATTCATGACCAGACAGTCAAAGCAGGTGGTTTTAGCAAGCACCTATTAAGGTGAACACAGGACTATGCATGCCCAACCGCATTTGCCTCCACAGCACCAATGCTGAGCACAGCACTATGCCATCTTTGTGGAAAACATTTGTATTGTGGTTAGTGCATTGAACCACATTCCAGTGGCCTGGGATAGATTCCTAACCATGAACCTCATTGGTACTAAGCATGCGAACCTTGTCCAGGCATTGGCTGGCTTCACTCGGTCATATCAATAGGCACCTTTTGTCTATGGTTGACTCCACATTGCAGCTATTAGCCTGAAAAAAAAACCCTGGAAAAATAAGTTGTAAACTGACATTAATACAGAATGTGTAACGCGCACATGTGGAAACACTGTAGCGTCCGGTGCAATGTGGGTAAGGCGACTCATTTGAAGAGCATATCGGATCTAAGTCTTCCCTGTCGTCCTTTGAAAAAGCTAAGTATGCTGCCCGAGCATTTATTCTGCTTCCCCGGCTCTCTCAATCTCCTCCTAAATCTTTTATCAAAGTGATCTGGCACAGGGCATTGCTTATTTTCCCTGTCCTCCCCCCCCTAAAAGAGAAGGTTTCGGGAGTCCAGGAGCCAAAAAACGTCAGTGTTTGTGGACAATCACTCATCCACTCATGGGTGGGGAGTGCACACAGCGAGACGCGCAAAAAGTATACAGACGTGGGGCTGGCTGTTAAAAGGCCTTCCGCCCAACGAAATGTTTGACAGCACAGAAAGCAAGTGTAAAGTAATAAACACGAGAACATTTCAGAGGGTTTTTTTTTACACGATTTACATTTCGCTGTACCTTTAAAAAAAAACACAAAGAGAATTTGAGACCCATTCGAAACTCGAGTAGCCCGATTTGGCACGAATGTGCGAAGGCCAGATGTTGATTTCTCACAAAGCTGTATTATTTAGCTGTTTCCTAAGACTCGCATTTTGCGGTTTATTTTCTTCATATTTTGGCAAAGCTGGAGATTAAAATGACCCAACAAAATTGTGCTGGTATCATAATTAAAGGCCAACCCAATAAATAATCAGGTATCAGCTGGAATATCCACAGAATCTCTTTAAACACGTTTTCTGCTACTATTTTAAGTAAATGATTCAAGAGCTCCTTTAATGATCGCAAGTAAATCAAGTGAACACATAAATCATTCTAAACAGCCCCTGAAAGCATACATTTCTTAAAAGCCGGTGAGGTCATTGATCGTCTGCAATGATCACTCGACTTGTACTTTTAATCTTGCTTTAAATGAAAAAGGCAAAGGTGCAGCTCCTCAATTTCTTTCTCACGTCACTGCTAGCAGATCGGCCTCCAACACGGGACCTTTCTTGCCAGTATCAAAGTATAGAATAGGTTTTAACCTTTCTGGCAATAAAACAGTTGCGTTAAGATGTTCAAACACCAAACAGGAACCTTTTGCAAGGAATCATGTCTGCATTAACCACACACAGTACTTGTGGTGAACATGCAAACAAAAAACATGCTCTGGTAAATCTAGATTTGAAGTTTTCGTGACTGCAGGCATACATACTCTTTGGTTCTTTCGGTAAAGTCACGTGGGTAGAAAATAAAATGAATCACGACGTTTCGGGCGCAACACAAGCGTCCGTCATCAGCTGGGACCACAGCAATAAACAATGGCTGTGGTTGTGGGCAAAAGGGCTGCCGTGACAAGAGGCTCCTCCCCCCTCTCTTACCTACAAGAGGCTCCTCCCCCCTCTCTTACCTACAAGAGGCTCCTCCCCCCTCTCTTACCTACAAGAGGCTCCTCCCCCCTCTCTTACCGACAAGAGGCTCCTCCCCCCTCTCTTACCTACAAGAGGCTCCTCCCCCCTCTCTTACCGACAAGAGGCTCCTCCCCCCTCTCTTACCGACAAGAGGCTCCTCCCCCCTCTCTTACCGACAAGAGGCTCCTCCCCCCTCTCTTACCGACAAGAGGCTCCTCCCCCCTCTCTTACCTATATAGCCTCTTGTCACGGCAGCCCTCTTGCCCACTTCAGCAATTGTCTCTTGCGGTGGTTGTCCCACCTGATGACGGACGCTTGTGTTGCGCCCGAAACGTCGTGATTTAATTCATTTTATTTTATACTCTACGTGACTTTACCGAAATACCCAAAGAGTAAGGGCTCTGGTAATATATGCAAATTGCCTTTGAAACTGATTGGTCTACACCAGAGACAGCCTTCTTTAGAGACAGAACGGCCTCCACCGAAAAAGTAATTACAGAGACCCCCTGGAGGGTATTTGGCCTCCTCTTACACGCTGGCAAGACGTCTTGGAAGAGGTGGGACTGCCAAATGTTTACTCCACCACACGCGACCATAACTCCTGGGTAGACAGAGGCAGGGGATTTTAAGAAATTGATTTGATATGGCAGGCGAGACACTTACATGCAGCACCCCATATCACAATATATAGGTCATTTAAAAAATATATACCACCGAGGTAAAGTTTTCGCTCTGAAATACCCTGGCGTAAAGGTCACTGTATATTTGAGAAAATAAAATCTAAATTATTATTAGAAATGTTATATTTTCAAAGGTTTATGGTATAATTGAAATTCTGACTGTATAAATGTATGCTATGCCACTCCATATATTTTCCTTGGGAAGATTGAAAGCTTGAATCCACTAACGGCAGTGCTAGTTTTGTTTGCTTTGGGATAGCCCAGAAAAATTAGTAATTTTATTTTGCTTTCTTTATATTTGCAATGGCATTTAAGAATTCCAATGAGTGCCAAAGTTGGAAGCGATTCGTGTTCAGCAGCAAGTCACTAACAGCCAAATATGAGGCCACACACTTAATTTTGATTTAAAAAAAATATATTTCCGGCCAACGCGGTGATTTATATGCATTTCTGCCACCACTCAGGTGGAAACGTCACCACCACAAAATACCCCACAAAGCATCCTCACAAACCACCTCCACCTCACAAATTGTTCAGCCCCTGGGCTGTGAATGAGCCTCTGTGCAATGTGTTTCCTTTGGAGTTATTCGTTTAATTGAGGTTACCGGAGAGAGATTGAAACCAAAGCACCCCAATGCCACTTTACCCCGAGATTGTGTTCCCAACGCCTGGGTGCGCCGACACGGCCAATGACGCTATCGACTTTGAGCGTTCGCACATCTGTGACAAATATTAACTTGAATTCCTGCCCCTGAGTAAAATACCACAATTAGATAAATAAATAAATATCGCGCGCGCGGTGAAAAGTTATGAAGGGGCAGCTCTTGAAATGTTCTTGGGTCAAGCCACTGCTAGCTGCAGAAAGCATCCACCCCCCCGCCCCCCCCCACAGGGGTTGCTTGGCCTACTCCTTCTGACATGCCGGCCAGATGTATTAGAAGAGCTGGGAGGACCCACACCTTACCCCACTGCAAGCGGCCTGCCGATCAACTAACTGTGGTGAATCCATTTATACTGCTGGCTGGATAGAGGCGGGAGGGTATTTAAGGAACACATCAAATCGGTGACCTCTGAAATGCAAGTGCAGCATGGTGGGTAAGCAATACATGTCAAGACTGCATCCAACCTAAAGTAACTACAAAAACAAAGAATCACATGTGATTTTTTTTTACATTAATTCAATAACAAACAAAACATGTGTTTCTGAAGCTAAAATCAACAAGCGGACAAAAAAATTGGACGTGAATTTCAGGAGATCCAGAAATTTGGTTTCTGCTGTTCTGTACCCAGCGAGAATGCTCGGAATGCATTGTTACTGTGCTTGCTGCAGTCCCCCCCAAAGGTAATTAACTTTTGGAAAATTATATCGTGAACAGGTGTTAGTGAAAATCCCTCAAGTCTTGGATAAGGTTACTCCTTTCCTTCGGGTTTGTCTATAGAATGAAAATCCCATTGAAATAACTTTTAATAGAGCCACTTTTAATGGAGTAATTTGTGTGCGTGTGTGTTTTGGCACAACGTGGGGAGGGGTGGCATCGTAGTCCGCTCACTGCACTACGGCCCAATGACTCGAGTTTTATCCCAGACCACGGCTAACATCAGTGGTGACTGATATTCGTATTTGGTTTCTCCTAGGTAGACTCAGACGTAAGCTAGTACCTTATGCAGTGTGCAAAAATCAGCACTGGCAACGGTCACACCAGGCCCTCGTGTACCATTCAATGGCTGAATTGGTTCTTGCTAACACCACATGTCCCACCCCCCCCCCCCCCCCGCAGTCTATGCAGCTCATACAAGAGATGTGTACGTGTTTATTGGTGCGACACAGCACGCAGGTGGTGTATTTGCCCAATCACTGAAGTCGTTTGACCCATAACGCATGCACATTTCTTATGACACGCCGCCAAATATTTCTGCACCACCCACGTGTCCCTACAGCACGCCTTGTCTTCCACAAGTGTTGCGCTAAATTACAGCTGCTGCTATTGCTGTGTGTTGGAGGGGGGGGGTGAGGGTTAAACCCCATATGTATCCCAATTAAGTGGGCCTCTATTGTGACCTCTTGTCAGACACATCATTTCCAAATCCAGCAGGCCGTGCTCCACACCTAGCCTGGTACAGGCAATGCAATGACAGTAAAAGGTACCTGCGCATGATAGCTGCATTGTACGTTGACTGTTAATGCTGTGCAACGGTAATCGGCGGAGAGATGGTCAGCGTCCAAGTAAACACAACTGCGACGACTAGGGTGCCAACGTCACGAGCACCTGGAATCTGTTCCTAACCCACATCAACCTGGCTCAAAATGTAAAGCATGAAAATTACACAATTACTTTAAACTTTAATAGAACACGAAACGTCAGCGCGCACTTGTTCTAGTAATATCCGAGCGGCAATTAGAATGGGGCTTCGACAAAAGCACAACGCTGGCGTGTCCTCTGGTCTAACACCGTTTTGAGACGAGGCTCCAAAGAAAGCTGTCTCTGGTGTAGACCAATCAGTTTCAATCAGACAATGCATATAATCTTATTTGGTTCTTTCGGTAAAGTCACGTAGAATGAGAATAAAATAATACATTGATAAAATAAAATAACACAATAATATTCTCACGACGTTTCGGCCACAACACAAGCAGCCTTCATCAGGTGAAGGGGGCGAGACTGTCTGGAGGACAGCGCTGTCCTCCAGACAGTCTCGATGAAGGCCGCTTGTGTTGTGGCCGAAACGTCGTGAGAATATTATTGTGTTATTTTATTTTATCAATGTATTATTTTATTCTCATTCTACGTGACTTTACCGAAAGAACCAAAGAAGATGAATCCTTGCAGTCACGAAAGCTTTAAATCGAAATTTAATGCATATATTATCAGAGTTTGTTTTTTGTTTGCATTCTGACCACAAGCATTGTTAATGCAGACATGATTCCTTGTAAAAGGTTTCAGTTTGGTGTTTAAACATCTTAACACCAGTTTTGTTGCCAGAAAAAAAGGGGGAAAAACCTATTATCAGGTTTACAGTCCCTTCCTAAAAAAACATGTTACGCGTCACTACACCCCACTGTCCGTGTACATCATTAGCCATTAGTTGGTGCGTTGAACAGTGTGAATGTGAGGTTTGGGTGAGACAAAAAATTTACCCCACCGATGTCATCTTTTGTATGAAACTTTGATCGGTGATCAAATATATTTTTGGTCACTGCATTTGAAATACCGAATGAAACCACTTAACTATTTAAGACAGCCCGTGAAAAACTGTGCCTCCAATTAGTGACTTGGCACCGATTGGTCACATGCACAAATTTGGCGCTAAACCCAGCACTTAATTTGCACAAGCACTTTCCAAACGCAAGCACCGCATGTGGATATGTAATCCTAATAGCACTTCACTGCTCTAATTAGCACGATTTTAATAACACGCGTAAAACGGACGCATTTGAGCAATATTTACGCGCAAACATTACCATAAACCTAGCCAGGAGCGAGCTGCGCAAGGCCGGGGAGGAGAGAAGGAGACCGGGAGCCTTCGCAGGTTTATAATGTCTGCGTCAGAGCCACTGGGCCAGAGCTGCCAACACCCTGGGGTTGAATCTATGCAGGCACTTGTGATTAAAAACTAGATTATTGGCCCAATAACTGAATAAAAAACTTTGAGATTAAATTGGTTGAAGCTGCATGTGGCCTTTTCCACTGGTAAAGGTAAAGCTATCGAGCGACGTTGCTGAAGAAGATGACTCCTTAAAAGATTTGGTGGTGACAATCATGAAAATGCTGATGTGTGTGTGCATGAACTTGTTTCGCACCGAACATAGCCAACAGTGCTAATTGGAGGTGTGGGGGAAGGAAAACAAACTGAACACATAAAGCAGTTCTGAAGAAATGAGTTTTCAATCTAAATTATTTAAAAGTGCATAGCTCCAGTGACTGATAACGACAAAAGAGAGAATGATGATGACGATGATTATGATAACGATGATTGTGCTGGTGGTCACAATGGATGTCGATAACAAAATCAATTCCTCTGCTCGTGCCGATTGACATTCATAACGACGACGAGCGGCAATGATGACGATGGCAGCGAGGGTGCCGATAAGGACGCCGACCACACAACGAGAGAGAGATGGTCACGACGAGGAAGAAGACGGCGTCGCACCGACGACGAGCAAGAGCCGGTGCGACTACCCGCCACCCCCCCCCCCCCCCAGCCCAGAGCGAGCCGCGTTGCTCGGCGCCTCGTCTCACCCTCCAGCTCGCCGCATCTCGCCGTGAAGATTCGCCCGATCTCTTGCGTGTCCGCCAGGCGGGCCCGCATCGCCGCGGGTTCCCCAGGGCCCTCGCCCTCCTCGCCCGGCCCCGGCCGCAGCCACGGGGGGCCCAAGGTCGTCGCGCCATCGCCGCCGCCGCCGCCCGCGTCCGCGTCGCCGTCCTCGCACTGCTGGGCGGACAGAAGCTCCAGGAGGACCTCACGTGCCGAGAAGGAGACCACTGCACGGACACGGAGACGAGGCGAGGGCACGCGTGCGAGAGTTTGTTTGTAATCTGCGTGGTGGTTCACGGTTAACCAGAACTTATTGCTTTGGACAATGGTAAGAGATCGACAAAAGGTTGAAAGCTTGTTTAGTGGTAGTGGCAACACCGCTGCACGGACGCGGAGACAAGGCGAGGGCACGCACGCACGTACGCGCGCGCAAGTCCGCGTGCGTGCGTGTTTGTTTGTTTGTAATCTGCTTGGTGGTTCACCGTTAACCCGCACTTATTGCTTTGAACGGTGGTAGTAGATGAACAAAAGGTTGCAAGCTACCACAAGCGCTGTCCATGATGGCCAGCAGCCAAAACATTGCAAAATGTGCCATCATTTCCAACAGCAGGCAACCATGAGCAATAACACAAACAAAACATTTTCTAAAACAGTGCATGCCTCCATTCAAGATGTATCCCCTTAGAATGCATTCAATGGGTCCCATTTAGAAACGTTGTCCACCAAATAGGATCACATGTTATTTTAAATGTGGTTGTAATGCACTTTTTTTGCAGTAAATAGATGATTCGACCAGCACAATATTTTGAAACAACTGTAAAAGAATGGCCGACGACTGAAAGTTTATTGACTGCTAATGGCAACATCAAACATCTGAGCACAGCTGTATTTTAGTTCATAGTGCACCACGAGAGAGCCCTCTAAGCCATGACATTTCTGGTGGTAGTAAAAATCAAACCAGCCGAGGATATACAGGCGTTACAGTGAGGGAAAAAAGTATTTGATCCCCTGCTGATTTTGTACGTTTGCCCACTGACAAAGAAATGATCAGTCTATAATTTTAATGGTAGGTTTATTTGAACAGTGAGAGACAGAATAACAACAACAAAATCCAGAAAAACGCATGTCAAAAATTTTATGAGTTGATTTGCATTTTAATGAGGGAAATAAGTATTTGACCCCTCTGCAAAACATGACTTAGTACTTGGTGGCAAAACCCTTCTTGGCAATCACAGAGGTCAGACGTTTCTTGTAGTTGGCCACCAGGTTTGCACACATCTCAGGAGGGATTTTGTCCCACTCCTCTTTGCAGATCTTCTCCAAGTCATTAAGGTTTCGAGGCTGACGTTTGGCAACTCGAACCTTCAGCTCCCTCCACAGATTTTCTATGGGATTAAGGTCTGGAGACTGGCTAGGCCACTCCAGGACCTTAATGTGCTTCTTCTTGAGCCACTCCTTTGTTGCCTTGGCCGTGTGTTTTGGGTCATTGTCATGCTGGAATACCCATCCACGACCCATTTTCAATGCCCTGGCTGAGGGAAGGAGGTTCTCACCCAAGATTTGACGGTACATGGCTCCGTCCATCGTCTCTTTGATGCGGTTTGTTTCCACCTCCATGTTTGACGGTGGGGATGGTGTTATTGGGGTCATAGGCAGCATTCCTCCTCCTCCAAACACGGTGAGTTGAGTTGATGCCAAAGAGCTCCATTCTGGTCTCATCTGACCACAACACTTTCACCCAGTTGTCCTCTGAATCAGTCAGATATTCATTGGCAAACTTCAGACGGGCATGTATATGTGCTTTCCTGAGCAGGGGGACCTTGCGGGCGCTGCAGGATTTCAGTCATTCACGGCGTAGTGTGTTACCAATTGTTTTCTTGGTGACTATGGTCCCAGCTGCCTTGAGATCATTGACAAGATCCTCCCGTGCAGTTCTGGGCTGATTCCTCACGGTTCTCATGATCATTGCAACTCCACGAGGTGAGATCTTGCATGGAGCCCCAGGCCGAGGGAGATTGACAGTTCTTTTGTGTTTCTTCCATTTGCGAATAATTGCACCAACTGTTGTCACCTTCTCACCAAGCTGCTTGGCAATGTCTTGTAGCCCATTCCAGCCTTGTGTAGGTCTACAATCTTGTCCCTGACAGCCTTGGAGAGCTCTTTGGTCTTGGCCATGGTGGAGTTTGGAATCTGATTGATTGATTGCTTCTGTGGACAGGTGTCTTTTATACAGGTAACAAGCTGAGATTAGGAGCACTCCCTTTAAGAGTGTGCTCCTAATCTCAGCTCGTTACCTGTATAAAAGACACATGGGAGCCAGAAATCTCTGATTGAGAGGGGGTCAAATACGTATTTCCCTCATAAAATGCTAAATCAATTTATAACATTTTTGACATGCGCTTTTCTGGATTTTGTTGTTGTTCTGTCTCTCACTGTTCAAATAAACCTACCATTAAAACTACAGACTGATCATTTCTTTGTCAGTGGGCAAACGTACAAAATCAGCAGGGGATCAAATACTTTTTCCCTCACTGTATCTGCACAGTTCAGTGAAAGGCGTCTCTCACGCACAAGTCTGGGGGGAGGGGGGGGGGTGCAAAGCTTGAGATGACAGTCGGCAAAAAGTTTATGAGAACGAGAGAGAAGACGATGTGCTGACTATGGCTTCATACCCGTTTACGAGGAACATTTTGGCGTGACAACAGCGATGTGACCCGATGTCCACGTGTGGCAGGGGACCTCCTTGAAAAACCGGGATACATTTACCTCTTGCTTTACTCTCAAATCGTCTCGTGGCATGCGCCCAGCGGTGGGGAGCGTGTATGCCACCCGTTGCAGGGGTTCGTAGTTCGAAACCTCGGAGAGGTCACCGTGGTTGTTGCTACTGCTGGCGAGTCAACCGTGCCGATAAGCATCGTCCGCCGCACAGTGGACGGTACGGATTCGGTCGGGACTCGTGAAAATAACGGAGGCCATCCTGTGCCAGGGTAATGGTCCAAAATTGCAACAACAAAAAATAATAACTGCAAATTACTCAATTGGTATTACGCATTGTAATGCAGAGCACAATCACTCGCTACTAAGAAACTACTACAGACTGTGCTTGCAAAACATAGCCATTTGCCTCGTGCTATACGAATGGCGCTAATCTACAGCGTGTTTCAAAATGATGGACCCAATTTCAAAGCACTATATTTCACGATGGCAACATGTTACAATTGCACAAAAAGCTACAAACGGTTTAATGAGTTATCGAGTTTTCCTAACCATTTTATAAATGCTCTATGTGCCCTCCACCTGCTGTACGGACAACATCGAGACGATAGTTGAATTCGTCCCAAACGCCTCTTAAAGTGTCTCCTTCCACTGAAGTCACCGCTGACGTGATTCTGTTTTTGAGGTCACCCAGATTAGTCGCTAATGGTGGCACAAAAACACCACGGGTCTTTGACGTATCCCCACAAGAGAAAGTCGCAGGGCGTGGCGATGTCTGGGGGTGATCTTGGGGGCCAAGAGTGTAGCGCCAAGTCTTCGGGTCCCGTGCGACCTATCCAACGTTGAGGCAGTGTATTATTATTATTTTTTTTTGGGGGGGGGGGCGCAATAATGCATTTATTTTGCACGGCAGGTGAGCTGTGACGTCACATCTGTCATGTCATCCGCGCATGCGGAAGCGTTACGCAGTGTGCCTGCTGACGTCACGCATCCCCCCCAAGCCTACGCGAGTCAAGTTCCATACAAGTGTGTTGCAGGTCTAAGGCGTTCTACGCGCACCATTGCTTCATTATTTCAGTCGCTTACTGCCGCACGCACCGTGAAAGTCGTGTGTCTGCAGCAAGCGCGTGTATGTGTAGCTATGGACGCGCGCGCACGTGTGTGGGGGGAGCGGTAGTGTAGTGGTTAGCGTGCAGTCTGTGTGTGTCTGTGTGTGTGTCTGTGTGTGTGTCTGCGTGTGTGTGTGGGGGGAGCGGTAGTGTAGTAGTTTGCACGCTGCGCTACGGACCCGGCGACCCGAGATCGATTCCTGCTCACGGCCACTACCGGTGACCATTATTTAAACCGGTCCTGGGCCTCCCCTAGGTCGACTCAGCCTCAAACGAGTAACTGGTGTGGTGTGTGAACATCGCCACTGGGGAGACAAAGGCGGCCAGACGTGGTGAATCCAACTCCCGGGCGAAGCCGGGTAGCAAAGCTAGTACGAAATAAATTAAATTATTTACTCTGCTTATGGATAATGTAGATTATCGCAGAATCACAATCATACGCGAGTAAGTTACATGTCAGCAGAAATACAAGGGCACGCAGTACTTTACGACGTCAAAACGCACGGATGCCAATGCCTAAAGGCTCAAAGCCAAACTGAAGTACTTTTAGGATTCTTATAGTTCATTATAAATGCCTGAGACCCAGACAGACTAAAGCTCCTTTCAGATGATTAGGTTTCAATGTAAATGCATGGAGCTCAGACAGCCAAGGTAAGATGTCTTTAACATTCCCAGGGCTCAGTGCTAGGTACGAAGCTCATTGAGAGTATTGAAGCCACAATTCCCATGAGGACCCACCTAATCGTGCAGGGATTTATTTAAAGGATATTCTTCTCACAAAGAAGTCCTCCCAAGACTCAACACTGAGAAGGATCCTGTCCAGTACACAGGGTCTGACGGTCTCCTTTTAAATTTTGACTTAAAACTTTCGTGACTGCAGGAATTCATATTCTTTGGCTCTTTCGGTAAAGTCACGTAGATAGAAAAAAAGCAAATAAAATAAAAACTACGACGTTTTGATCACAACGATCGAAACGTCGGAGTTTTTGTTGTGATCAAAACGTCGCAGTTTTTTTTAAATTTGATTTCCATTTATCATTATTTTTTCTATCTACGTGACTTTACCGAAAGAACCAAAGAATGTCTCCTTTTAAATGAGATTTATTTTTGTGGAAGAAAACTGGAGTGTCAAAAAGAAAAGAAAAAACCCATGCCCCTTGGAAACCTACTGCATCCTACAGGAGCACCTCAATACCCTCCTGCAGGCGAGCGTCTCGGATACATGAACGTTCCATCGTTTGCGTCTTCCACCAACCCCACTTCCAAATCGTTTCACCACAGGCAAGCGATTCCACGCCCGGCTAAAGTCTTTGAGTCATACACAGATTAAGACGCAACCATTTCCCATAACCGCTCTCACACATACACTGCCATTTGAAATGAATGCCATCAAAATACATTGT